CTGTGATCACGTCTTCGGTTGCCCCGGTAATCCTTCCTTCCATGGTCAGTGCAGCCAGAGCCTTCATCACGATCCTGGCGGCGATCTGTCCAGGACCACCATCCCTGCTGGTTCCGGTGTCCTTGTGGTTCTCGGTACCACAATCGGTGGATTATGAAGTTGATATAGCGGCCTTAAGAACGAATAGGGCTTATTGGCATTACTGTAGCAAGGAACTCTGAGGAATACCGTGGCCAAATATTGAGGCCCTTATATGACAGAAAGAATGTGCTCCTCCCCGTCCAAGTCGTCGCCATCTTCGTTTTGGCCTGCGCACAAGCCGGTGCTCCCTTGGCTTCTACAAACGGGCCGCCGCTTCCCAGAGACCCACACTAATGTAGTGGCTTCAACAAATAGGTTTGGGTTTTGGGGGATTCCTTATTGCAGTAAAAAGTAGATTATACCCCAAAAACCCTGTTCTAATTATTAAGGCCCCTAAATTCCCCCCCCAAAGACTGCGGAAAGCCTGAACTCTGGTGCATGCGTCGTAGCAACCGGATCCCCACCGTTGAATACAGCTTATCCAGAAGATCAGGGTTTGGGGTTTAGGGTGCAATTCAGGGTCTATGTTTTCCGTAAATTGTATCTGGCTTCGCTTGAAAGTGCAACCATTTAGGGCTCTCCCGGTTCATCTTTGACCCGTTAAGCAGTTTAGCATGCCTCACCATGCCTTTGGCAAGGCTCCCATACTGTTTCTTAGCCTGTTCGCGCTTGCTTGTGTTCGTCAAACCCATGAAACATGTGACCATTATGGTGTTTGCATCAGGACCTGCGCCGATTACCCGAAGATTGCTGCACTAGCTCGGGTTGGGTCCAACAACATCCTGTTGGAGAGTAGTCCTAGCAAGCCTACACCGGCTACATCTACTACAGCTATCAGTACTGCTACCACCAGTTGCAGATTGCTTCAGAGCTCGTTGCCTTCGCCAGCACGCCCCATCGGCATCTTCTCATGCTGCAGATGTTCAACAGAATTTGGGGCTTACTTGTAAGATCACCGTTTGGGGTTGGATCAAATTATGTGTCTTGTAAGCATGTTGAGAAGCCACAAACTTAAACCCTTTGACCCTTAAGCCCAAACCCCTAAAGCCCGCCGGTTGAAATCCGAAAACGCCAAGTCCTGAACGCTGAAACCCTAAACTGAACCCCTGAAACCTAAACCCTGGTCTGCAGAGCAACGTGCCTAGGACTTCCAGTTGCTCTGCTGCCGCTGCAGCAAGCGAGCCACCAGCCAAGCGTACGCCTGGGCTTTTGGAGGGTAAGGGTTCCTTTCAGTGGATGAACTACATAAAGAAACATATGAAGGGTGTCGGGATTTCAGGTTGAGGGCTCTAACCCCAAACATTTTAAATCCTACTACCAAAGCCAACCCAAAACCCGACCGCCAAACCCTCAAACCCCCAAACCCCTAAACCCTGAAGCCCTGTGTCCTAAATCCCCAAACCTTGCCCCAAAACCCTCAACCCTTAAAGCCCTAAACCCTTATATAGAAATAGAAAAATAAGTATAGTCATGCACGAAAAACACAGAGTGGCCAGCAGTTCCTTTTTGTGGCTTATATTTAAAATATAGGATCCTATAATGTAGTCCCAAAAAGGAACTACTGTGGAGCCCTAAACCCAAACCCCTAAACCGATACACCCTAAACCCTAAACCCTAAACCCCTAAACCCTAAACCCTAAACCCCTAAACCCTAAAACCCTAAAACCTAAACCCCTAAAGCCCCAAACCCTAAACCCTAAACCCTAAACCCCTAA